AACTGGTACACGTTAAATCTGTCAGGTCGCAAAGTCCTCCCTGCTCCCATAACAAATTATACCTCTGGCGGAACTGGATTGGAGATTGATCGTTCTCTGATTCAGTTCAAAATTACGATCTGTGGATAAGTGAATGGATGTATGAATGGGTCCGTTCTATAAGCGGGTAATAATGTTCGTATGGGTGTGGCAGAAGTCGAATTCTTGGCCATAGATGGCGCATCTGGAAAACAAGAACAATCGCACCTTCACTGCTTTAATGGCCTACGTCAACAACAACACATCAAAAGTAATTATAGTTAGAAACGATTATTTATATAAAAAGTAATTATAAAAGGAGCTGGTATAGGTCACCGCTGGTATACCGCTAGGATTCGCTGCTAGACCCTATCTGGATCCTAACGGATAATAGAAGCTCTATCCAATATTTGAGTGCATGGCCCAGAGTGGGAGATTGGGCTGGAACGGCAATCTTACAACTTCTCAGTAAACTTTCCGTGAAGCGGGATATTTATTTGCAGTGGATTCCGTCCCACGTTGATCTGTACGGGAATGAGATCGCTGACTCGCTGGCTAAACTTGGCACGAATGAACCTCTGCCGGAAAGTTTGGCACTCACATCCTCGGAAATTCACTCCATTAGAAAGCAAGGTGTCCAGCTAGTCTGGAATACTCCCCAAGTACATATCTGGTACTCTGGGGATAATCAATAATGTTCGCAGAAAAGCGGACAACAAATCAGGAAGAAAAATAAAAAGTTACTTTTCCTCTTTCAACTTTTTTATTAAGTAGCAAAAGTTTAAAAAATGCTTCTTGAACAAGGTGTTTTTTTCCTTGGTTTGCTGTGCACGTACTTTAGCTTTGCTTTTAAATACATCATTTTTTCTTTCATATTCTAAAAATTCTTTTTTTAGTACGATGGTCGATTATTATTTTCAGTGTCATTTAAGGGACAAAAAATAAATACTTTTTTAACAGAAAATAAAATGGCACTTCATATTAGTTAATATTAAAAATGTGTTGTAAGAGATAATTATTATAGCTAGGCTTATTTACATCCTAAGCAAACTAAATAAACGGAGTTAAATAAATAATCCCAAAAATCCAAGCAATTGGATATTACTTAATTCATAACTTCATTAGTTTCAAAAATAAACAAATTGGAAATAAGTCGACGTGTTTCAAGCACTCAAAAATAGGAGCCCATTTTCAAAACCTGCCAGACGGGAAAAAGAAGAAACAAAAGTGTTTTGAATTATAAAACTTAAAATTGCAACGAAAAATGAAAACATAAAAATGCGAAACAAAACTGGAAAACCACAACAGCCGAAAGAGAAAAAAGATGATAGGTTGGTAGATATTTTATTTACGTCACATTAGAGTTTCCCAATAGGCTATTGGCGACGGTCTAGAAAAAATCCCTGAAGATGATCGGAAGAGATGCCATTGCAAACGCATCATGCACTTTTGGGTAGAACAGTTTAACGAAGATCAATATTAAGAAATATTCAAGAAAAATCTCCCGTTTAAATGTGATAAATTGGCATGCGGTGCAAAAATTACTGCATTTCAAAGTTTCAAGTTAAAACTTCCTTTCAACTGACAGAAGTGAAACTAATAATAGCCATTGACAGAATTTAAGAGAATTATACAAAAGCATTTCATTCAATATTAGCATTCAGACGTTAATTCTATTAAGCAATAAACGCCAATACATTGAAAGTAGTTCCGTTGAATAACTCCCATTACTAAGTATTTAAGCTGAAATTTATAGACTTTTAACCGGAAAGTCAACTAAGACTAGCTTTTAAAGCAAGTTCGTCTTCCATTAAACAACTATATCCATTCGAATGGAATAGTTCCGTCCTACGTTAATTTAGAGAAAATCATCGAACAAAATTTTATTAATAGTTTATAAACTAATTTCTAAACTTAATCTATTGCTAGTGACTGAAACTTAATTATTTTACACTTAACGATGCTTATGCATATGACATAAAATATTTTAACGATATTTTCATTTGTTCAGAAATATAGAATAATTTGTTAAAATATCTACTGTTGGGTAATTTTTCCTATTTAATACTATGATTTTTTCATAGCATTTATGTGCCTGTAAATTTAAGCGATTGTTTTGTAAAAATGTAAATTTCTGGGTTCAGTTAATAGCAAAATCTGTGCAATAATAGTTTGCCTTTAATTTAAGGTATAAATTACTTTCTATAGAATTTAGAATCACTGAAATTACAAAAATCATACTAGAATGAAAAAAAGTCGCATCAAAACTGTCAGACTATGGCAAAACTTACGGTATTTCTAGTCTATGATAATACCAAAAAGTTCAATAATTTATTCCATAAAACGCTTTGGTAATAATAATAAAATATAGCTTTATAATATGTTATAAAATTTGGTATATGTGGCAAAATCTAGTAATTTTATCATGATACCTTAGAGAATGGCATAAAAACTACTTATGAGGTTAAATTTACTTTACAGATTTTTACGGTTTTTTATTTTTTACTAAATGCGTGATAGTAAAAAACTATAAATTTGAAAACCAGAATTTCCAGTAAACCAATAACATATGAGCGAAATAATTACCAAATGAATAGTTCAAATGCAGTATATTTAGGTTATTATTATCAGAATTATGGTTTTTTCTAACCTAAACTGATATTACCATACAGAACAATAATTTACCAGATTTTTTTTAATCCGTGAAATAATCTAAAAAAAACAATATCCTACAAAAAGGTCTCGTTTTAGGAATTTCATTCATTTCTCGCTTTTAATTTATGTATACAGGAATGCTGTGTATAGATTTAAAATTATTGTCAAAAATGTGATCACAAACATGTCACAAACAAATACATAAGCGAGGAAGAAACGAAAACGCTATCGAAATATATAAGATCATTTGTTAGGGGGGGGGATTAAAAGCTTCGAGATCAGTTTGATAATCTGATAAAACTTACAAATATTTCTGAAATTAAGCTTTCAACCTCTTTCTGTTTCTTAACGCAATCAAATAGGTTTTGATATTTTCAATTCTTCCTTCCTCAATACTGATTCATTAGTTCTCAGAACCATAATAAGTATACTTTTAGACTTAATTTTTGACAAAGATTATATATATATATATATGGGTGATTCTCACGAAATCTGACAATTCACTGTCCCTTTCTCCAAGATCTAATACTATAATACTAAAAGAACTTTTTTTTTAAAAAAAATAATAAATAGCATTGCTGTTAGCATTTTAAAATGACTTTGCACTAGCATTGACTGCTTTGTATAGTTAAAAAATTTAATTGAACTTCAAAATGTCATTTTCCTGGCATGTCCCAAACAATGTTTCCAATAATAAATAGCTTCAAAATTTCCCATAAATTTTTCAATATCTAACTTTTTTTATCTCAACCTCGTATATATATATATATATATATATGATTCGTTTTCTAAATGCAAAGAAAGTTAAACCATGTGAAATTNTATATATATATATATATATATTTATGGTGGTCATTTCAAAACACCCTGTATATTATTATAAATATTTTGAAAGTCTAAACAACCAGTCCCTAAAGTTAATATGTATCTTCTCCGTATTTTCCTTGAAGCAGTATCTGTTAAGGTGATATTAAAAGCTTTTGGTTGACTATGTTAATAAACGTCACACCCGAGTTACACAAACTTTTGTCAAGCACATTTCAAAAGCACTTTCTAAAATAATTTACACTGTCATCAATAAATCATCTTTATTGGTATTCAAAATAGTTTATATACGCCTTTAAAAGTTTTGGTGATATATTCTCGAAATAAAGGAGAGTTCCTTATATTTATGGAAACAAACTTTCACCAAATGATCTAACGTACGTGACTTGGCATGTTTAGCGCTGATCTTGAACATTTAAATATTTCGCTCACAAGCTCTCATCATTAAAATATCGTATAAACGGATGACATTTTCCAGTATCAACTGAGTTAAAAATAATACGTATGGGAACACTTTGTATTTTAAAGTAATATATTATATTTACTGTATATCTTATTACCATTTTCTTTAAATTATTTTCGGCGTTTGGTTCGAAAAAAGGAGTAATAATGTTCGAAGATGGCCAAACTACTGAAAAGAATTTCTCCTGATATAAAACATATTTTTATAGTTTCCATCAATACCAACTGATATATGACCTATCCAATGAAATATTTCTTATATTAGCACTTCAACGGGTGTCGCTTGTTCTTTACTGTTTGCATTATGATATTCGGGGCTATAAGCGTCTTAAATACTTGGATAAATAGCACATTCATTTATTGTCAAAATATTAAAAAATCGCAACAGCATTTTTTTTAAAGAAATCAGTTCAAAACAACGAAAGTGCATATGCGTTCAACCATCGAGAATGTTATACCGAACATTCTGTAGCGTAGTGGCAATGGGTTGGAATCCCGTCATCATCCTTCTATATGCTCTTCTACTTGACAATGACTTTATTAGTTGTATTTTATACTGAGCATACAAGCCTGCATATGTATGATTAGCTGTAAATAAGTCATCAACATTACAATGTTTCGATTTTTCTGGTTTGATTTTTAATTTCAGCTTGCTTAAATAATTCCGTAGTAGTACTTTATTTACGTGACACTAGGGCTGTGGCGCCTGCGTGGGAAACATCCCTGAGGATGCTTCGAAGACATGCCATCACAATTTTGATCCAGTGCAGTGGGGTTGCTCCCCCGCTTTGGTTGACCAACAACCTGCGCTCGAAGTAGAGCACTGCACTGCAAAACCGTTTGAGGATCAATACCGCACCCCTCGGTCTCTTCGCAGTCTGATCGAAATGGTCACTCACTTGATTAATAAAAGCTGCCAATGATGCTTGACTTCGATGATCTGTGATCACTATGAGATTGAATATTTTTGTATAAATATAACCATCTTTGTAAAATAACTGTTACTACCACTTTAATTTTAAATTTTATTTTATTTCTAGTTGCTCAATTGATCCTTATATCTTTGGTAACTTCGAAACTACAGACGATGGCAAGTCACTTTACTCCAAATTCAGAGCTTTCAAGTTTCCAGATACAAATTACGTACTTTTTGTTGGAACTGTTAATGTTTGTCTAAAGCAATGCAGAGGGGTATGTAATAATTTTAACTAATTTTATTTCCAATTGCTTCTGAATTTGCGTAGCAACTGTGGAATATTATTTCAATACTGTGTAGTTCTATTTCAATTCTGTGATTAAAAAATTTGTAACGAATTTAATCATGATTAAATTATTGAAACATACAAATAAAATTTAAAATATTCCATAGGATTCATTCCGTTTTTGGAGAAATCTGGAACAGAAATTCCTTATATTTTTAAAAAGTTTAAAAAAAATATAGTATTTCTGCAATTACTGGAAAATATCGTCTTCTAATTTGATATTAAATCAAATATAATTATTTTCTAAAATGTATTTAACTGATTACTTCACAGGCTTTAATTTTGGGATAAAAATATAGATTCAATAATAATAATATTAGTACGCATAAACACAAATTGAATCTAAATCTTTCAATTTAATACCATTTGAATCATTTCTTAAAACTCTTTTTGTTTTCTTAATTTCAGGTTTATTAGCTAAATAAAATTTAATTAACTAAACAGGTTCATTAGCTGCATCCATCAAATTTACTTGCATTTTGATTTTTTCTCATTTTTCTTGATTAACATTTTTATTTAAAAAACAGAAAAAAGTTATATTTACGAACAATTCTAAATTACTTTCACTAAACACTTTGGAATCAAAATGGGGCATTTATTTCAAGTCAAATGGTTAATTTAGAAGTAAAAATATCAGTTGTCTCCAAATCTGTCCTATAATTTTTCAAGAACTATATTAAGTTAGAATAAGTTAAGCAGTTTTTATTTCAATTTTTGCTTGTTTATTATTTGGCCTATCACCAAAAAGATACTGTGTACACTATAGGCTGATTTACTGGATAAATTACAATAACTTATTCTTTGCTAAATGCTTGGGTAGTTTCACTAACTCAGTGCAAAGAAATTTAATGGGGTAATAAAATATCTCATGGCGAGTGAAAAAACACCGGAAATATTGGTAAATTCGTTGGATTTCTAGATAACAATGAGCGCATAAATTTCAAACTATGTGATTGCTTAGTTTTGCACACTTTCGAAATTATATGAATTTAGAAAACTTATTGTCATATTCAGAGCATTCAATCCAGTCACATTTTTCCTACAAAAATAAAACGAATTTCAGCTGCTCTGTTGATTACAACCTTTTAAGTATAGTTTAGTGGCACGAGCTTGTGAAATATTTATCAAATTATTTCTGCCAGCTATTGTTTATGAAAAAGTAAATCATTTTGCCAAAATTTAGTGTGAAATGCTTTCTATTTTAAGGTAGAGAAATGTGGAGTTTCTAATAATAAGTTAATTTATGAATAATTATTAAAAAATATACACTTTTATTGCTTAATTGCAATGACTTTTAACGTATTCAGAGTAAAGAAAATAGAAGACCTTAATAACTTCCTACCTAATGGTTAGAATTTCTTTTTCTATATTGCAATCCTAACGGTTCAAACGGCAAGCTTTAAATATCCTAGTTAATTTGATGAAAGTTTATTTGAAGTTATAAAACTAGACAGAAAAACGTACTAATAATATGGTAAAAAAAAGTTTTAAAATGCTTTTATTCATGAAGTTAATACAGCTATTATAGGGGATTTTTTTTAAAACTTTTTTTAAACAAAATATGTGTATGGAATATTGGTATTGGCAAGAAATATAAATACAAATAAATACATTCATAAATACATTCTTGACATTTTGCTTGCTTTTTAAATCGTATTCAAAAATGAATTTGAAACATAATGGAAGAATTTACCCCGACCCGCCCTTAATTCGGGCATACGGGTACAATGCCGAATTTGAAACATAATATATAATTTATTTCATAATCTTTTTTTCCATATCAAAATAAACTTATTTATAAACGTAATTAATTTAAAATTATTTCAAGCAGAAACAATTTTTTTTACATAGTCACTTATGTTACAAAACCTAACCCTACTTCATAAATAAAATGTGTAACTCAAAAGTGAGAATTTTTTTTTATTCTTTGATTGTGTTCGCTATTTGTTGTTGAACAATCATGAGAATTCTTTTTAATTCAGTTCCATTTTCCGTGACAGCTCAGTAATTAAAGTACTGAGCCTGATTCTCAAAAACTGGGGTTTGATCTTCCGGAGGCGAATTGAAGCCCATCCTGCTTCAGATCAATGAGTACTAGTTTTCTGGGAAGTAAAAGTGGCTGGTGCACAATGCTGACCACACTGTTACCCTTATGCTATTGGTAACGAAAGTATGGAAAGTAAACCTCCATGACTTCTTGGCTTGCAATAGAAAACCCATTAAATATAACATTTTCGTCACATCAACTCACATTGTTACAATTAGCAGGAGCGTTTCATTTTTATTTTTATTTTAATAATAGTTAATACAGAGTTTTAAATATTTATTTAATTTATTCCTTTAATTTGTTAAGATTAACTTTTTTAAGTTTCGAACTTTTACACGTTGAGTTTGTACTGTTTAAAACTAATTATTATTTTTTTTAAGGGAATTTAGAAAAACTTTTTTTTCAAGCATGCAAACTACTATTAGCGAAAATTTTATCTTAGAAACAAAATTTGCAATATTTAATTCAAGTTAAAATGATCACTGCAAAAAAAAATTCTTTTTAATTTCTGGATGGAAAAAAATTTCATCAGGTGTGTGAGTATAAAACCGTTATTTCATGGAAAAAAAGACGATAGTTTTTTAAGCAAATAAGTACCGTTTGTTTAGAAAACAAACTCTGTTATTTTAACAAAAAAAACTCATTAAAATAGCTACGTCAGCACTGCTGTCGGTGTGAGCTGAAAACAGCATCTGTACCACCAGTCGACGCTGGAATTTGAACCTGGGTAAACTCATTGGGAGACGAGTGCTCTGTTGCCTGACGACCATAGTTCTAGTGCCTCTGTATTGTTTACTTTCATTTTATAACCATCACTGAACAGTCAACCCAATTTTTTGGGTTTGTGACAACTAATGTTCAACTCCATAGCCTTTTAATTTTGAACCCAATCCCAAAGACAAGCAAGCTCTTGGAGCAAGTATTGGGAGAAATTTACCTTCGTGGAGGACTTTTTGATCGAACTAACCCGTATTTACGTTACATGGAGAAGAAAACCTTCCACAGTTAGCCTGATTGCAAGGGGACTCTAACCCATAATCCGTTCCCCACTGAGAATATTTTATATCAGCACTGTGCTCGGGGCAACCCGGATGTGGAATTCATATCGATCTGCCATCGCTGGCATTCGAACCCGGGTCACCTCATTGGAAGGCGAACGCTCTATACCCTGAGCCATAATGGCTCAGTGCCTTTGTATGAAGAAAACTCTTAAACTGTTTTTTTTTCTTAAAAGAGTTATTTATTGAAGTAATATTCAAGTATAAAAACGTTTGCAATTATATCGGCCCATCCGTATAAGAATATTAGAAAACTTAACTTACCACAAACACTCACAACCAAATTTTAAAAAGTTGCGGATTTCTTAGCATCCAATTCATTTTGAAAGACAATTATAATGTGAAGTAAACTCAGTGGCGCTACAGCGCATAGATGGCCAAGGTCTACTGTGCCCATCTCAATTTTCTTGACCTTGGTCTCTTTGATGCAAGAGCAGAAGTTCCGGTTGGGTTATCAGTAAACGCGGAAACCCCCAGTGTTTAGTCCCCATGCATGCTTGATACTCATCTATTCGACCCTCTGAAGGGATGAAAGGCTAAGTCAACCTTGCCCGGCCCGAGGATCGAACCAAGGACCTGTGGCGAGACAGCGCGAAGCGCCTACCACTCAACAGCCAGGCGTTTTATTATAATGTGCCGGTTCAAAATATGCAAACCATTTGCCTCTATCACCCACTGTTTTACAGATATATTTCTACAACCATTTATATTTCACTAAAACTGTTACATTGAGTACTCATGAACATATCATTAGCTAAAAAAATAGTCGACTGAACTCACGTCAAATATATGCTGCATAGAAATATTCGGTTCAAAATACAGCACACATAAAAGTCATATACAAGGAAAATAAACCATACTTAATCTAAGCCATACTCCAGTGTTGTAAACATCTTGAATAGTAGCAAATGTTTACCGGAAAAAGGAGCATCGGAGAAGCGAGAGAAATATGCCGAAAAAAAACTCTAGAAAAAATTACCGAAAAAAGCCCGAAGAAAAAATCGGAAGAAAAAACATTACTTAAAAAATTATATAAACTTACAGTCCAATTTTTTTTTTTTTTTTTTGCTATCCAGTGAACTTAAAAGAATTTATTTAATGAAATTAGATAATTTAAAAAAAAAAATAGAGTACAGAGATAAATTTAAAATTTACAGAAGGAACTTACTCACTTCATGCAATTTAACAGCATTTTTAGAACTCAATAGCAGCTCCATAAGTTTTTCAAATTCCGATAATTATAAGAATTGTATCGTGATAATGCTTTGTTAATTATTGATTTTTTTTACAAAAAATTGTATTAAAATGAAACATTTCATAATTTTTGCCATTATTTTTAACGTATCACAAATTTAATCTCTTAAGAAACTATTGTTAATCGATGCAATATATATAAAAATATTATTAAATTTGTGATATAAATGTACTATTTACAATTAAGAAAAATTAAAATATGCATTAAAATTTGGTTTTCATAAACTTTAAATTAAAATTTGAGTATAAATCAGTTATTGAAAAAAATTTATTTTCACTGGAATAAGCATTTAATTAAATCGAATTAATGCTTAACAGCCTGAATCAAATCGACCATTTAATTCATGTAATTGTTATGGTAGGGCTTCATTCCCGATGAACTTTTCCTTCTTCTTTTCTTCTGAAGCTTTTTTCTCCTACAGCTATTTTTCTACACAGCTTTTTTTTATGGTTCAAGTATAAAATGTCACTCAAGGAAAAGAAATTCGCTAACTCTAAGCGTCTACTTCAAAAATGTGTAGTTGTTCCCTGTGCTAGCAAACGCCATTGAAATTAATAAAATTGAAACAA